TTCCGAAATTTTCCTAAGTTTTAGACCTCAGGCATATGGAGCTCTGGGGCTCAGGGACCTGAAGATAAAAAAATAATAATAACAACTGTGTTGTAAGCTGTGTTTTCCACTGTCAGATCTCTTTCTTGGCCACTGCCTAAGTCCTTTTAGCCTTGTGCAGTTCTTTTCATGGCTGACTTAGGCTTCTAAAGGAAACAGGATTAAAGAGAAGATGGAGCTCAATTTCAAATTCTCTACCGCAGGGGTTCTCAAAGTGTGGTCAGGGAGCCCATGAAATCAAAATGGTTTTCATGAGACATTTTTGCCATTTGCTTTGTAATTCTTTCATGAGATGTACAGTGGAGTTTCCAAGAGTTTATGATATGTGATGATGTCTCACACAGAACATGTAAAGCAGATAGGAGAATCCCTCTGTCTCCTATTAAACCAAACATTAATGAGATTTGCAAAAATGTAAAACAATGCCACTTTTCTCACTAATTTTGGGGGGGTTTGGGGAAATATAGATACATTTTCTTTAAAAAAAACTAATTTTTTTTCATTCTAGGATGTTGTTGTGGAGCAGTTGGGAGGGAGGGGAAAGAGAAAAAGGGAAGGAAATGGGATGAAAGAAGGAGGAAGGAGGAGGGGTGGGATTAGGTGTGTGGCACCCCCCCTCATTCCCACAGGGGAGACCAGGGGGCTTCCAGTGGTGACTTGGTCATTGCCAGGNGGGGAAATATAGATACATTTTCTTTAAAAAAAACTAATTTTTTTTCATTCTAGGATGTTGTGGAGCAGTTGGGAGGGAGGGGAAAGAGAAAAGGGGAAGGAAATGGGATGGAAGAAGGAGGAAGGAGGAGGGGTGGGATTAGGTGTGTGGCACCCCCCTCATTCCCACAGGGGAGACCAGGGGGCTTCCAGTGGTGACTTGGTCATTGCCAGGCTGGGTGCAGAAGTCAGGGGGCTGTGGCAAAAGCCCTCGCTCCCCACCACCCCAGTTTGGGAACCCAGGTCCCTTCTTGCCGTGGCTTGGTGGTGGTCACTGGGTTTGTTGCACATGTCAGGGGGACATGGCCGAGGCCCCTCACTGCCCTGGTTTTAGAGAGCCCGGGGAACTTCCTGCAGCAGCTCTGGCTGTGGGTATCAGGGGGGTGTGGCCAAGGCCCAAGGCCTCCCTAATTAGTTTTCATAAAAGATATTTATGTTAACCCGTACTGGGCTTGTTATTGTTTTTTAAATAAATTAATGGATATTTTTGGAATGTCTCAGTTTTAATCAAAAGTTTGAGAAGTGCTGATCTGCAGGCAGGCTTTGAGGCCTCTTGCAAGGGCTGAACCATCTCCCAATGCCAAGCCATGGTCTGTTTCCTTCCTTTCTGTCCCCTGCTACAACACACAGAATCCCAGANGGATGGAGAACCTCCACTTTGCCTTTATAGACCTCTGTAGTGCCTGAACTTTTTACTTAAAGCAACTTTAATCATTTTTGTAATAATAAGTAGGAATGAAGGGTGCCCTCAGAAAATAAGAAGAACACTGGTGGCAGCTGTTAAAGCTGCAGTATGTCATTAATTCTGGGCCACACAGAAGGAGCACATAATGATTTTGCATGTTTTTGGTTTTTTTTTTTTTCTTTTCAAAGCACCTGCACCTGTAGAAGTAATGATCAGCATCATTTTTACCAAGAGTACAAGTTTACAAATTCTTTAGTGATTTCGTAATAGTTATGATGCATTTTGCCACTTAACAATATTCTGCTCTCCCTAGTTCATCTTTGTCAAACCTCTACTGTGGATTTTTATAATCTAAGACATATACTTGAAATACTTCACAGATTTTTTACCTGTTCTGATTCAACTTCGTTTTGCACAGGAATTGTCATCTTAGATGCTGGGAAGGAAAAAAAGAAGAAAACGGTTATATTTTCTGTGGGAGAATAAAATACCATATCCTGAAATAGGTATTTCGAAGCTCATGTAAAATTTTAGCTGATGTCTTTAACTATTTTTTAAAAAAGGAAAGTTGGTATTAAAAGAATTTATTTATGCATATTTGTTTTGGTATGGCTTTAATATAAAGTTTATCAGCTATCTATCCAACATTATCCCTCATGAATATCTCCATTTTATAGATTGGTAGAGAGAGTCATTGGGCCAACAGGCAGTCAGGTCTAATTTTTCTGTGGGCCCTAGAAATCCATTCAGGATTTTTATCCAAGAAGAAAATCTGTCAGTTTTTCAGTTAACAAACATTTATTGGGAACTTACTATAGGACATACACTGCGCTAGCTGTACCATGGACTTCATGGAATTTAATTTTGTGCAGAAAACAAAATTTAAATAATCTAAATAGTTGAAAAAATAATTAGCTACAACTGTGCAAAAGTCTGGGAAGAAATAGTATAGGATATCATAAGGGCATATCATGAACATGACTGATCTATTCTGGAGCGTCAAGCAAAGCTTCCTTGAGAATGTGACATTTAATATATAATTAACAGTGACTTACTGCATGTTTTCAAACGACTAGGATACAGGAGATGAAATGTTCACATCACAAAGAAATGATTAAGTTTTGCAATGATGAATATGCTAATTACCCTGAATAGATCGTCACACATTTTATACTTGTATTGAAACGTAATTGCACCCCATAAATACAATCAGTATGTTTCAATAAAACATTTTTAAAAATGAAAAAACAGGGGAAACATACTGAGGATCTACCAAGAGCTAAGCACTATTCCAGGGCAAAGAATGCTGAGATGGAGAGCATGGCCCCTACCCTCAAGAAATTTACAGTACTTTAGGGAAGAGAGACAAAAAGATTATTTCAGCCTAATAGGCCAAGGATAGTGAGGAAATATGCACAGGCTGCTGCGGAGGGCCGGCAGAGGGAGAGGCATTTAGCTCAACATCCTAATTCAGTGAAAGTTTTATTAGACTAAAGCTCCATGAGGGAAGAGTTCCTGTCTGCCTGGTCAATACTGGGACCCCAACACTGCCTGGCACATACTCGGAGCTCAATAAATGTTTGTTGAATGACTAACACCTGAGTTAAAGTTGTGTAAGAATTAGCCAGGCAAAGAATGGTGGCCAAGGCATTTCAGGTAGACAGAACCTCATCAGCAGAGCCATGGAAATGTGAAACAATATGGCACCCATGCCAAATGGCAAGCAGCTGTGCAGGTGCAAAGTGAGGGGCGGGAGTGGCAGGAGGTAAGACGGAGAGGGCAGACCAGTCATGCAGGGCCTTTTGTTTAATGCTGGTAATTCTCCATCTGATTCTGTAGGCAGTGGGAAGCCACAGAAACATTTTAACAGGATGTGATGCAGCTAGGAGGAGAAGGGAACAGCCCAGATGACAGTTATCATCTGATTCCAGATCTGAAATTCAGAGCTTGCAGAAATGAAGGGAGAGAGACAGATTTCAGAAATGCTTAGAAGAGAGATCAACTGACAAGAGTCTTAGATAACTCCGCAAATTCCTACCTGAGACACCCTAACATTGCCTGAACTGTTGACTAAGATTGGGAGCGGGAAAAAGCAGAAGTGTGAGTCTGGGGGAGAAAGGTGATGAGCTCACCCTGGAGCCGCCGCACATCAGGTGACTGTGGGACACATGCAAACACTGCTCGCCTGACAAGCATTTGAATCTGAATCAAACCCAGGAAAAGGTACGGTTGGAGATACTGACTTGAGAGTCAGCAGCATCCAGGGAGCAGTGAAAATCCACAGAGTGTATAAGAAATCCAAGGGCTGCATGTCCAGAGAGAAGAGCAGGAATCCTGGGAAACATCAGCATTGAAAAGTGGGCAGATGAGATGGAGGAGGAAAAATGGAAGAAATGGTCAGAGAGATGAGAAATTAGGAGCAATGTCAGAAGTCGGGGCAGGGCAAAGCATCCAGAAAGGATGTAAGATCATATGTACAACGAAATCTTAAGACAGAACAGAACATAAAAACCACAAAGAGAGAGGGACTGGATATAGTAAATATCTAGACTGATAATTACTAAAATTGATCATTAAACCCTCGACCCACTCCCCCAGCTTTATTGTACTTCAGGCAAAACGAGAAAAGTGACAGTTTTTGTAAGGCTCTTAATTTGGTGCCAGAGAGCTTATTTGTTCATCAAGTGATTTGTTGAATGCCAAGGAGCATAACATCCAAGGGGGAAATGCAACGTGTTTTCATATTCTACAACCAAGCCATTGTTGTTGTTTTTCTCTGCTATTGTCCCCTAGAGCTGGAAATTGCAGGTAACAATTCAAAATTCCTACCCCTGTTCTGTCAAAATCCTGTTGAATTACAATCGTTTGCGATGAATAAGCCTGAAATTGAAACCATCAAAGGGAAAAGCCAGCCTGGGTTAGTTTTGTCAGAGCTAATCTGTATTATAAATTGGAATCATCTAAAGGGAAAGACATTTTGCAAATACAAACACTGCTGCATGATACCAAACAGCCCCTTTTCCCATTCTTCTTCAGAAAATGCCAAAAGCTCCAATAGGAAGCACTCTACGGACTACTGTGTTGTGCACAGAAGAGCAACACGAAACACAAGTTGAAGGCAATTTTTCTTCCTTGTGAAAAGCAGCCACGTGCAGTTACAGGACGGAGGTCAGACGACTCAAGAGTACTGGTTTCCGTGTGGTCTCTGTTCCCCCAGCCCTTAGATTCTCAAGGCCCTGAGTTCTGACACAAGTATATTCAGACAAAGGCAGGTGTCCAAGTCCTAATCTTTGGAAACTGTGAATTTGTTACCTTACACGGCAAAAGAAACTTTACAATGTAATTATGTTAAAGATCTTGAGATGGGAAGATGATCCTGGATTATCTAGTGAGCCCAAGGTAATCACAAATGTCTTTGTCAAGGTAATTACAAGAGGGAGGCAAGAAGATCAAAATCAGAGAGGAGTTGTGATAAAGGAAGAAGTAGTCAGAGAGAGAAAGAGAGAGAGGAGAGAGATTTAATGATGCTATGCTACTGGCTTCGAAGATGGAGGAAGGGACCACAAGCCAAGGAATGCTTCCAGAAGCTGGAAAAGGCAAGGAAACAGATTCTCCCCTAAAGCATCCAGTAGAAATGTAGCCCTGCCAACACCTTGATTTCAGGACTTCTGATCTCCAGAACTGTAAGATAATAATTTGTGTTGTTTTAAGCTACTAAGTTTGTCATAATTTGTTATAGCAGCAACAAGAAACTAATACAGAGACACTAAGATCTTCCAAGAGAACAGTGGCTCTGAGTCTGGGCACAAGAGATAAAAGGAAGAAAAAAAATTAAAAAAATTTTTGTATCCTTTGTACCTTTACCATGTAATGTGTATTATCTATCTTAAATTAATTAAAATGTAATAACAACAAAAGAATCTTAACACTTATGCCATTTTTCCCAGGTCCATGTAGTCACCAAAACTTCTGATTAAAATTAGATCTTCCCACAGGATGAGAATGTATTTCCATGAGAAATACTAGCATGCGGATTCCTTGATAGCTAGAATTCTCACC